CTTTCTTTCTTTCTTTCTTTCTTTCTTTCTTTCTTTCTTTCTTTCTTCCTTCCTTCCTTCCTTCCTTCCTTCCTTCCTTCCTTCCTTCCTTCCTTCCTTCCTTCCTTCCCTCCCTTCTTCCTTCCTTCTTCCTTTCTTCCTTCCCTCCTTTCCCCCTCCTTCCCTCCCTCCCTCCCTCCCTTCCCTCCTCTCTCTCCCTCTCCTCTCTTCTCTCTCTTCCCCTCAACAGCTGGAAGGTTCTCTGGAACAGGAGAGGAAAATCCGGATGGATCTCGAACGGTCCAAAAGAAAACTTGAAGGAGACTTTAAGTTGGCACAAGAGAACATCATGGACTTGGAGAACGACAAACAACAGCTGGAAGAGAAAATTAAAAAGTAAGGAAGAGCCAGCTCTGTACTTTTGGGTTCTCCAGTCAAGAGTCTCAGGGGGTCCCCCCGCCCACAAAAATTGCCAAGCGCAAAAGCTTTCATATTTTTCTCCAAAATAAGGACGAAAATGAAACTGGTCTCATCATTCCACCAGAATTTCTGTCATCCTTAACTGGTTGGGAAGGCATTAGCTTCCTTCTCCAAACTGGAGAATGACTTAATTGTTCCTGGAATCCAGAAATCCCAGTTTATAGAGTTCTGTAGCCCAGTTTTATGGGGTGGGAAAAATACAGATAGAGTCCAGAAGTTTAGGTAGTCCTTGACTTACGACCACAATAGAGCTTGGAAGTTCAGTTGTTAAGCAATGTGGTCATTAAGTGAGGCATCCCATGACTGTGCCTGATTTTACAACCTTTTTGCTATGGTTGGTTTTTTAATATACATTTTTATTAGTTTATCAAAATATAAAATGTAAAGAGAAATTTTAAAAAAAATCAGAAAACTGGGGGGAGGAGGAAGGAAGGAAGGAAAGAGAGAGAAAGGAAGGAAAGAGAGAGAGAAAGGAAGGAAGGAAAGAAAGAGAGAAAGGAAGGAAGAAAAGGAAGAAAGAAAGAAAGAAAGAAAGAAAGAAAGAAAGAAAGAAAGAAAGAAAGAAAGAAAGAAAGAAAGAAAGAAAGAAAGAAAGAAAGAACAAAAGAAAGAAAGAACAAAAGAAAGAAAGAACAAAAGAAAGAAAGAAAGAAAAAAGAAAATAAGGAAAGAAAGAAAGAGAGAGAAAGG